TTAATTTATATTGTTAATAAATAAAAATAAATGAAAACATAATTAACTACTAACTAGTTACTAACCTAGGCAGTACTCGTGTAATTTATATCCGTAAATTGATACGTAATACGTTAGTACTGATTAATTATAATTCATTGTAGTTGTACTTGTACCAACTTGTATATTATATATTTGTTTATCATGTGTATAATATAAATTATTCATTATAATACATGTTGTTCATACAATTTACGTTCTGAAACCTTTGTTGCGATTTAAGATCATGTGGAACTTTATTGCAAAAATTAAATAATTATTTCGTCAATTGTTTGTTAGACGTACATAATACGTGGCTGTACTAGAGTTATGAAACTTATGATATAGATGCCCAAAACAAATAAATACTGTTTTTATTCAAAAGTAGTGAAACGATGGTCATAATAAGAATTTTTGTAATATAAAGCGTGAGACCAATTTTGATAGTAAGTAATAAGTATAGTTATCGACTTATCGTCACAAGACCATTTAATATATTTTAATACGTAACACAACCGTGATATTTTAATTATAAGTTATGACAAACTAATTACAGAGTTATAAATTTTATTATAATTTCGTATTTTGAATTTATAAATATTAAAATGAATTATTAAGTTATTGTGCCTACTAAAACTTTATTCCTATATAGAGTGATTTTTTAAACATGTATACACCATATTTTTGTGCTTAAATCATACATATATTCAAATTCTGATTTTTAGAATTTTTAAATAAACTTGAAGACCATATTTTCGAATACCTGAGTACTTTTTCATCACTTAAGAATGGTCCTGTGGCAATACATTTTCAAATAGTACCCCCCCCCCTTCTTTTCACTTTTAATTATTCAGCAGATATTTCTTTGAGTTATAGAACTTTGTGTACTAAAGATAATACATATGTCGATGGTAATATGTGAAGTAGATATGGGGATTAGATGATTTTAAAATTTTGGTAATTACTATTAATCTATCAATATAAAAATAATTTGTAAAAATGATCTAGGTAGGTATATAATGAATACTTCATCTAATATTACATATAGTTTATACTTTTTGTAAAACCATATTTAAGAATTATTATCCATGGTATAAACGTTTTGATAACTTAGAAACTACTTATTAGTATTTTGATTTAGATACATCGACATTTTCAAGAAAATCGGCAGCTAAAAATCGACACTAAGAAAGGTGGGTTTTCATTTGAAAAATGAAGTTGGTATCGCCACGAGACACTTTTTAAGTAGTACAAAAAAATCAGGAATTTGATAACATAGCTATGTAACATGACGTGTGATGGTATATTATTTCTAAAATATATATTTACGACGCTGTAATAGAACACATAAACAGTAAATTCGATTTGATTTAAATTATTAACATAATATGGAAAGTTAAATTTTTTTTACACAAGCAAACATCATACTTTTTACAATTTTATAATAACTTATTTTATATCACTATACATATTATATTTTCTTAAATTATCTAGAATTAGTTTTAATCTTTACTATCTGATTTTAATTTAATAGATAATGGAGATTACAGAAAGAATACACAGACATTACACCAAAACCATCGGTTATATGATATAAGTATAAAATATTTATACGAAATTGCTCTTACGAATTTTTGAAGCATACTTATTTGATGGAACACCTATTAAAAAAACTATTTTTGTCATTAATTTGTAAATAACCTTTAAACCTCTATAAATGAATTTCTAATGAGTTTCAAACGACCATAATATGCAGTCTCAAATTTATTTTTACCCAACAACTATACCGAACTTGTCTATAATCGATATTCCTCACCCAAACAGACATCATTAACCAAACAAGACATTACCCATAACATTTCAATCCTAACAAATATATGTATGGTTATAAACTGCGTTTTTCTAAATTATCCTTGTTTGCTTATTCGTGTAGTTGAACTTTTTATTGACGCATTAATAATTTAACAAACAGGCTTATGGCAACAACACAAAACATATTTTACTTATTTTCTTTCACTACAATCAATTTATTTATTTTAACAAGATAATTCTATTTAAACGTTTAATATTAACCAGTAATTATTAGTGGTGGCATCAATCTATACACTATTCAGCCATATAAAATCACGGGTGTGGGTAGGTTTACACATTTGTTTAGAACGATTATTCAAATTTGGTGCTAAGTCAACTATAAATCTATATCATAGATTAAGCACTATCGATAAATAATAATATAATATAAATACGTCTGTGCTTGCACGATCAACAGCTCACAAGTTTAATTTACCATATACAGTCAGTACGCATATAGTTTAATACAGTATCTATATTGCTATTCGCTACGGGTTTGATTGATTGTTAAATCAAGGTAGGTATTCAAATAACGTAAACACTTCTACAGTTATACTACATACTTGTACACAATTGTATTGTAATATTGAGTATTTAACATAATATTGTATACAATAAACAAAAACTGAGAATAATAAACTGCCTAAAATGATGTACAAATACATATATATTTTCTTAGTTTCTTACATTGAAATGATGGCTACCTCTATTTATAAATTGTGTACACGTCATACATCTTAGGTACTTATTAAAAACGTGAGCAAATTTTTTTAGCTGATCTAAAAAAATTAAATGTACGTCTAGATGTTTACAGGAATATTGTTGGTAATTTACTACCTATCTATAGGCAGTAGTGCAACGTGCCATCAATAACGTGCCACTTTTGGCAAAACAGAAAACTTAATACCGAGACAAGGTTATTTGAGTTCGATATCTATCAAATCTGGTGATATAATATTGTTGAATCAACGTACGGACGTACGGTACATAAACAAACAATACGTAATTAGCAATATATATACACTCAATTATAATAATATACATTTTTATCTAGCATAGATATAGACCAGACGTTTGTCCTTACAGTCATCAGATGTAAATTATGTGCACATGACAATTTTTTTAAGACCTTAACGATTAAACAGCATACAAATACAGTTATTAAGCACGCAATGTATACCCATATAAACGCATCTGTTGGAACGACGAATACCTAGAATGATAGAGTACGTATGTTACCACAAAATACAATGCAAGAATGCTACACGCAAGTCGTAACCTTGTACTAAACATAACATTATAATGCTGTACTTATGTGAGTAAATTATAATAATTAACCAAATAATCATACATTTTAAGAATTGATACAAGAACTTTATTTTTACCTATTGAAAAGTGCAATAATTCATATAGAAATACTTCTCAAAACCAAATCCTAGTTTAATACCTATGTAACATTTAAGCTAATAGAACTTTTGTTTTTTTTCTAAAAGAAAACATTATACATTATAATAATATGCATCTGAACGTGATTTAATTTTATTATTAAATTAAAATATGGGTACAAGGCCCAATATTTTTTCATAGGAAAAAAGTAAATCTTAATATAATAATAATAATAATAATATAAAAATGTTATAAAATTATAAACAAATCCACTTTTATAATATAATCTGAGATCAACAATAATAATTATTATAGTTTCAATACCTTTTCTATCTATTAATAAATGCAATTTATGTAATACGAAAAACCAAACGGCCATTATATTTTAACACAATTCCACCCTTACATATCAACGATTTAAATAAATAAAATAAAATTGAAAACAGTATTTTACGATATTAAGTACCTATAATATTAAGCAGGACTTGCATTAAGAAAAAATCATTTTAGATTATTTAATATTAAAACATTATACAACTATTGCATGTATCATTATTTAAAACTAAAACTAAAACATAAAAGAACGTTTGCGTTTATCGTTTTTTAGAACTACAAAGTAGTGGATTTTTTACATTTAGTGGACGTTATACACCGGCATGCGTTATCCGTATACTACTCCGTTATCCGTTACTAACAAATAACATAGCAAATTATACGTATTAAGAAGAATCCATCTCACTCTATTATTTTTAATATCAAAGTGAATTAACTTACCATCAAACTTTAAGTAAGATTATTATCTAGGACACTTTAAAGGTATTTTTTCAATATTTTAATTTTGAACATAAATAAAAGAATTTTAAAATTGTACATGCTCATAACTTGCTCAAAAATTCAAATATTATATGAATATACCTATAACACCTCTCTAGGTGCTCTAGATAATATTCTGCCTTTAAATATAAAGGGTATAACGCTCTCTTAACAAAAGTCTACTGTGCAATAAGCCGATGTGGAGCAACGATGGTCCAATATTTATATTTACTATAAATACAATTACCGATAATAGTTATTTAACAAATGTAATAATAATATGTAAATGGTAATAGTGTAATGACTACGATATAAGATAGAATGCCAATATAAATTTTAAAAATGTATTTTATTTCTATGAAACAGAAATATAAAAGGTTTTTGATTATTTCGTTTTCTGTTATTCTTTGTTTAATTATATAATACGTAATACTTCGTCTTCCGTTGTTTTGAATTATTTTATATATTTTGTCAGCTTTTATGTTTTCGGTATTTTTTGTATTCGTTTATCATTTTCCATTTTAATCACGTTTAAGAATTTAAATTGTTTTTTTGTCATGCATATAATGTTATAAATTTATAATCATAGATAACGTTATTATATTATAATAATTATAATAATTATATTGCCCTGACATTAAATAAAAATTTTAATTTAATGTAAGTACATCCAAAATACATATTTCAAACGAAAATACGATTGTAACATTTTTTAAGAATTTGCGAATTAATTTGATAGCAAAAATTTCCAATAATATTATATTTGTATTATTTAACAATATTCAATTAAATCACGCTGAACCAAAGTCAAAACCCAAGATAAATAAGTTCAATTATTATATAATTTACATAAGTATTATAGGTACATCTATACCGTTAAAATGTATGCACATAAGACTAATATAGTTATAAAAAATTTGTTTCGCTCTTACCTGTTCGTTAATATCAGTAGTTTTCATACTTATAACTAACTCAATTAAGAAAAAGTTACTCAGAATAAAATTACTACGAGTTAATATTGGTCAGAATTCATTTTTCGTCAATTACTTAAGTGCGCACCATAAATACAACTCAAAATTAGATAATAATTTTATTCATTGTTTATGTTATCAATATTTATAGCGATTAAAAAAATTAAAACATGTTATTTAGGCCAAACAGAAGAACACGAACACCATAAGAAAAAATACGAGATCCTGATCGAGCAGGTCTCTCTTCACTGGCAAGATGACTGTCGCTAGTTCACCATGTGTTCTACTCGATCGAATAAGAGGGGAACCCAACCAGTAACGGGTTTGAGAAGTACAATTCGAGGAGGGGGTTATGTAGTATCTATTTAACACGTTATGTTTAAAATCACCTTCAAGAATAATAACAAAATGGATTTTAAATATATTTATTACCGTTATAGAAAAACTACAAACTGATAAAAACATAACTTGTGCATATTTAATATTTTTGACGAATTATGTTTAAGAAGTTAGAACAAAGAGATAGGTGTGTAGGTTGAGGATTCATATAATTTGAAGCTTCTTTCAAATTGTAGGTTTCTTAACATACCTAAATGTAACAGTTTAGATGAAGAAATGTACAGTGATTATATTCAAAGAAAGTTTAATATAAATTCATACCATTCAATATCAGAAATATTTTTACCAAATTAAAAAAATATAATAGTCAAATAAACAACCATTCTGCTAGATGTATTTGGTTGTACTCGACGGGTTTAGAAATTAAATTACTTATTAATTCTACAACTTACTACAATCTGTTTTAAAAAAAAAATAAAATGAATAATTTAGTATAATTTAGGGAATATGTTTCATTAAATTATTCCAGTATGTACAACATACCGGTAACTATAGAAAGTCTTAAAGGTATTTTTTTATTTTAAATAAAGTAAATTAAGTGGTTAAAACGTACGTTTGCTATATTTTTTTCACAATAATCTCTTAAATTAGTGATAAATTAAAAAAACCGAATCTTTAGAGTTTAATGTACTAGTTTTAAACATTGGACTTTAAACCTGGGATGCGACTTTTGAGCTTTTTATAACATGAAAAAAATATTGTTTAGATAGTAAGTTAATACGATACACATACGTAATATAATCAATAGTTTCATCCAACACTATAATATATTTTGGTGATTTTTACGACTAGATAGAATTTGAACTTCAAATGCTTATAACAAAAGAAAGCGACACTGTGTATTTTCGATATTTTTAAGCTGCCTAAACAAATTGAGTTAAGACTTGGAGAAACCTTGTACCAAGGTAATAGTCAGCTTTTGGATCGAAAACCACAATGTTCTCAACATAAATCGAAAAAGCCTAGGAAGTCATTTTACAAAATAACAAATACATAGCCCTGAATGTCGAGGCCCTACAATAATTTTGGGCTCTCATCTTAATTTGGGCCTTCTCTAAACGATACATATATATATATCAATCAGTGGTAGGTATATAAAAACTAGTGCCAACTACCAACTTCTATATTTCCTTGGACCTTATAATATAATATATATTTCTAATATAATTACAATGTTCATTTATTATTTGTATTTTTGTAGTCAATAACATTTCGCTGTTAATACCATAATGAATTATTCTACATAAAATGTTTTTCATGAAACATGATTTATTTTTTACCACAGATTTTAGAAAAAATTACATTTTATTCTATAGTAACACCATAGAAAAATACGGGCCCTATGCTATATGTATACCTACCTACCAATAAATAATGAGAGACGAGCAAATTAATAGTAAAAATATATATAATGAATAAAAACAAAAATACTCTGCGCGGTCTGAAGTAAGATATCTCCTAGTATAATATTTTAATATCAATAACTCGTAATTTATAAGTTAATACAGGCACTGAATTTTAGGTACATACTGGATAACGGAGTAATTATAGGTTCATGAAATAAATAGCTTAATATTAGTAAAATTGTTAATGTGTATACAAAATAAACGTAGCTAATTAAATAATGTTTAAGGTAATGAAATCATACCTTTTCGTCTATGAAATCCTACAGTTAATATTTTTCTGAATTATAACAAAACAGATACCGAATATTTTTTTAGGAATATTTTTAATTTTCGTTTGAGTACCTATACAATTTTTTATATTTTTATGGGCGCTGTACGAATTAATACTATTATTAACCTTATCAACATAAATTGAAAAAACCATAGATGTCACTCTGCTATACATAGTAATGGAGGGTACCTATCTCGTCATTGAGTAGGTCACTATAATGGATGTTTTAAATTTGCATTCAATGACAAATCGTTGAATACAATTAAAAACCATTATAAAGCGGCTATATGACTATAACATGTCCACAAAATAATTTTCGTAATTAAGTAGACAAATGTTGTCAACATATAGGACTTCAAATAACTATAAGAAATAGGTTATGTACATAGATCTTAAATATTGTTAAATAACTATAATAACAATTTATGAGCAACGATTTATTACATTTCCAAGCTTTTAATTGAACGAAAAATTATTTTATCTTTATTTATAGATGAAAACTAAAAAAAAAATAAAAAATGTAAAAAAATGTCTAAAAGCAATTTATGATTATGTATTTTGAAAATTATATCATGTATGGAAAATGTTAATACAAACGCTACTGGTTAGTTATAGCCCGCCATTCATAATAGTATTTACATTGTATAAAAATAAAATAATATAGCATAAATAATCTAATAATTCGACGGAAATCATAGAAACAATTTTGTGGACTATAACTCAGATGCCCACACACAAGATGTCGAGAGAATGTAGAGTTCAGCCAAATGGGGTGACAAAAAACGTAGAGGAACAGATAAAAATTGTGTAGATTCGTACATGTTGGAATTTATATGATAATCAAAACTTAATAATAATGATAGGTTTGAAACAATTTTAAAATATGTAGCAACATTTTGGGAATCACGGAAAGCCTAAACGTTTATATACATTTTTTTACATTATATCATCACATCATATTTTATATTTATACTTACGATGTATTTATTATTAGAGATGGAGGGGAGATAACAAACCTGAGTGGTGGTAAAATATTGAAGCTTATTTACTGCTAAAAATAAATTTTATTGAAATGTATGTACCTAATAGCATTTTATAGTTATGGTATAAATTAAAATACATTTAAGCTCTTTTTGAGGGAGTATTTACACGTAAAGGGCGACAAAATGTTAATTTGCGTAGGTGTGTTTAAACGCTCGTGTCAGGCCTGCTGAGAACCTACTAGAATTATAATAAACATTTCATAAATATATATATTTTTTATATGTATTAAGGTTAGGTTAAATATTCATGATAAATTATTATAAAGCGAGTATAACAAAAAATCACTTATAAAGAAAATATGAAATCTAGTTGTCATAGGTATATATATTTTTAATAGTTAACTATTTAAAAAGTGTACAGTTTATTTTTTATCGGTTATAGCAAACCTTATATTTGATTAGCTGAACAATAAAAATATGATCATGTTATATTTATTAGTAATTAAGTATACATGTTAGATACACTTTGTCTACTGAATACTGAATACTGTATTCTCCAATAAAATATATTCAGCTAAGTACAATTATACCAATTAGTTTTTGTAATTTTAAATATTAAGAACTATATGTAATTAGTATTTACTAAATATCATACATTTTGTTTAAATAAAATACATTTAGTATGTATGAACAAAAGTGTTGGTTCCTTGAAATTCAATGTAAACAGTTTTTATTGTACTCTCGTGTACTAAAAAAGAAAATATTATATATAAACAGAATAAATTGATAAAAACAAAAAAAAAATTTAACCATTTAAAATATGTTTTTCCAATTATTATTTTTAACTTTTTTAAACATGATTTAATTGTATTTAAAACAAAATAAAAAGATTGGTATGAGCATATGGATGTAGGAATCAGAAAAAAATGTAATGTACAATTATAATATAATACATGTATAATATAAATGAGTATAATTAAATATAATATTATAGTAGTACGTATAATTACTATAACAGCTAGGCAGTATAGAATATAGACGTATAATAGAAGTAGGTAGGTACGTTTTAAATGTTGTAAATAAAAATTTTAATTTAAAAGTATTAGTGGGTGATGACTGATGAGGGTGAACATTGAGACAATAACTACAGACTTGATCTTGATTAGATAATGTTTTATACTATTTATTTATTTATAATTAAGAGAAGCATTAGTTTGAAGCTATACAGAATTGGTTAGATTTAAAAATGTTTTTTTGCAAAGTATGTGTAATCTCAACTGTTCAACAAAAATGTAAATTTATTGAATCGTATCTACTGGAAAACGAAGAGAAGTTATGTCTAATCAATACAAAGAACTTGAAAATTGTCAAAACGGAGTTGAAAAAGATATTATCATAAAATACATAAAAAGTATTCTCACTATTATTAATCCGAAAAACGTATAAAAATCACTTTATTTACATATTTACATATTTCCAAAACATACGTGACTTAAACACAAAAATTCATCAATGAAACAAATGTATACCTTTTAACTTTAGATATCTTCATTATTCGTGTTTACTGAAACATTAATATTACCCTCTCCGATATTTTTCAAGAACTTGATACTTTAAATTTAAATCTTCAATGTGACCCAGATAATATCTCTCCAAAATGTTTATATAACCGTCAATTAATTTTAACATACCCCCTACACATTCTGTTTTACAAATCCCTAGAATTCGGCACATTTCTCTCTGCTAAGAAAACGGTTCACATCTCTACAATTTATAAAAAAAAAGGTGATCATACTTCTATTTCAAACTATTGTCCAATATCTAAAATTTTTATTATTCCAAAAATATTTAATAAAATAATTAAGGATAAATTTACTCCTTTAATAAATAATAAACTTATTAATGAACAACATGGCTTTAGAACTTCACGAACCGTAACTAACCTAGCAATTCTCAAACAACACATTTTTGATTCCTTTTTTCTAACACTCAAACCGATATGGTGTAAACTGATTCTGAAAAAGTCTTCAACAAAGTAAACCATAACTTACTAATAATTATTATGAAAAGCTAAACAAACAAATTATGGTATAAATAACCCTTTATTATCTTTAAATTCTTTTATAAAAAATAGATTTCAAATAATAAAATGTGGCAACTAGTACTCTGATCCCATTTCAATCGTTTCTGGTGTTCTTCAAGGC